GACAATATAGATCAGGGTATTATTCTGGATATAGTTTGTGGAGGTTTTTTCTTGTCAGGAGAGTTCCTAAAAGCAATTTGATTGTAAAAATGATGAGATTACTATACTTATTGACTTTGGAATTCTTTATTTTTTGATTGGATTTGTTGATAATCTTGAGGCTATGAGGTTTGTAAATATAACTAAATGTTTTTAGAACTGATGAGCTTTCACAAATTATATAGGTCTTGGTAATGCTTAAGATTTTCTTGCACTATTTGACACTGCTGCCTAACTGCAGATTACTGATTAAAGGACTTTCAGAGAAGTGAAGTGGTGGCTTAATCCATTGAAGAGTGTCATCAAATCTTGGATTGGATTTGGGACTGGTATATCTGATTTGGATTAATTTGTCTTGTATTAATTTATTAATTCTTAAAATTATTGGAACAAAGTTGATTTTTGTCATTCTTCTCGGGTAGTTGGATACTTCTTGAAAAATTTTTTTGTTACTTCTTATCTCTATAATGCAGTTTGATGGGTACCAGTGCAAGATATCTATTATTATATGAAGGAAATCCCCTAGGGATGTCCTGGATTTTGACCAATTAAAAATTTAATTTATAAGTATAATAATTATGTTAATAAAATGATTTCATTTTTGTATAATGACTTAATAATTTAAATTTATAAAGTAATTTTTAAAAAGTGACAAAGAAAAGTTTGCAGTTATAATATGATATAATTTTTTGGAATTTGTATTATATAAGGTCTCTAAAGTTCTCACTTTTTCTTTAATGTCAAAAAAAAACAAGAAACCTGTAAAATGTTTCAAAAACTTATTTCTGGTTTTACTAAAAAGAGAAAAGGAAAAAGTTAAGAAAGTACTTCGAGAGCTTTTAAAAAGACAAAAATCACTTAGGGAACCCAAGAGCTAGCTACTGAAAGAAGACTCTCGACTTTTATTGAAATGGAAACAGAAACATCTCAGAAGTAATTGAGATCCCCTGGATATTTTTTCAAATCTTCTTTTAATATACCAGCATAGAGAATGTTTAAAGAAACTTCAGGTATATTTTAAAAATTTATTATAATTTAAAATAAATACCAATGTATATATTTAGTTTCTAATAAAGCCATTGAAAGAGTTATAAAGTCCCACAAAGGCCTTTATAAAAAAATTAATCAATTGTTAGAACAGCAAAAAATTATAAAAAATAAGATTACCCACCTAGAAAATAAAATTCATGCAAGTTAACATTTAATTACTGAATATGATTTTATCAAGATAAGTTTCATTTTGAATTTTTTTAAAGGTCTTCGCAAACTTATATTTTATTTAAATAGCATGTGGTTAAGAGTATCACAAAACAAGTATTTTTTGAAAAAATATATCCAGACCATGAATATTTTCACTGAACTATCAAGGAATTTTTTTAGCAAGAACATTCAGAATTTTATGAAGGCCTTACAAGAAAAAACTGGAAAACATATTATGAAAAACATATTCATTAAGCAATAATTCTTATAAATATTAATAACTTTAGTTCTTCTGTTATTAAATACCTTATTACTTTAAAAGCTCATGAAATAGTATTGATTGCTTCAGGAAACTATGGCTTCAAAAATTTGTAACATCATGTTTTCGATTTTTGGCAAAAGGTTTTTGGATACAATAAATATGAATGCAATCACTGCTAAAATTTTGGCCTGGAAACAATCTTGGAAGACTGCCAAATGCTTTGAAAACCTTCACAAATGTCCAAGAGGAGAGACACAAAGCATGATGGCCTGTATTTTTGAAAAAGTCTGGCCAAAGGAAGATGTCTCTGTGAAATAAGTAGCATTCGCTATTGCAGTATTTCAAACAGTTCTTGATTCAAATAATGAAAGTAATTTGATAAATGAAACATTAATCAAAAGCAAAATAGAGAAAAATAAGGTAAGTTTTAAAAATCTTTGAAATATTATAAATTATTGTTAATAATATTTTTAGGAGAATTAAAAAAGAACTTGGATTCAAAAAAAAAATTCAAATAGCAAAAATGAAGAAATAACTGATTCACAAATTATTAATATAGAAGATAATCTGGAGAAATATAAAAATACTGAGAATGATTCAGGACAATTATTGGAAAATAGAGAATTAGAAAGAAGAACTTTGGCAATAAGTGAAGATTTAGACAAATAAATAAATGTAAACAGAAATTATGTAATAATAAATAATTTTAAAAGCCAATAAATATTTAAAATTGAATATTAATAGATTATAATACATGAATATAAATACTAAAATATATCAAAGATCTCCAGAGTTTAATATATTGAATTTCACCCTAGAGTCTTTTAATGATGACGGAGGTTCTTCAGAGGTCTACGTCTGAAGATAATATATTAGATTTATAGTAATTCAATATTAAAATAATATTACCAAAAACAATTTTTAAGTTTAATTAAATCATTAAAAAAGATAGAAAACAATAAATTGAATTAAATTTTTAAGTAATAAAGAAAAAATCAATATATTTGTAAAGCTTTGATAAAGATAAGAAATTTATAAAATAAAATATTTTCAATATTTTAACAAATAATAAAAAAGAAAAATTACAAAATCAATAAAATTTAGTATTGCAAAATTTGATAAAATATTTATTAGTGAGTAGTTATAAAATATATTATTTATAAAAATCGTTGAGATGTAGACTAAATAATATAATTTTTGTATTACATGACTAATTAAAGTATTATTAATGGAGTTTTAAATATTTTTATGACAACTTAAATATTTTATTTTACAGTGCAATAGTTTATGAGTCATAATAATATAGTTTTATAATAAAATAGTTTTAATGTAATAAAAATAAAGATAATAATATAAATAGTAGAAGAAAAAGTATAAAAATCAATTAATAATCAATTAATTTCATATTTAAAAATAAACAAAAGAAATAAGAATGTATAAAAATAAATGTAATGTATAATAAATTTAAAATTATTTTAAGTTTTAATATAATTAATGTACCAAATAAAGAAATAGTTAATTAATTTACTTTTTCAGAAATTATATGTTGCAGAAAATCATTTTGAAAGTTACTATAAGAATGTATCCTAAACTATCAGAAAAAAGAAGATGTAAGAAGATAAAAAAAACAAAGTTAGCAAGCTTTTAAGTTTGGTTAAATCAAATCCATATTATACATATCTCAAGTAAAGAGAAGACATTAACTGATTTAGATATTGTAACTGTGATTGGCAAGTCTGTTATTAAGAAAAGTTTGGATTTATGTAACAATGATAAGTGTTTTATTTATAGTAAGGTAAAATTGATATTGGCTAAAAAACTTTACTAACTAGACTTGATTTATTTTCCTTTATTCAATTTTTTCTTTCTTTTATACATTCTTGCACACTTATTACATAATAAAAAATATGAATACAAATTAAGAAAAACTATAAAAATTTTCATGGCAAAGTAATTACTATTTAATTTTCATGCTACTCTTATTATATAATTATATTAATCGATTCCATAGTGTCATAATCTATTAGTTGAAATCTGATTATTCGGTATACGATAAATAATTTGTCAAGCATTCATCAACAATTCAGCAATTATTGCCAAATTGGATATGCTGAATTATTGCCAAATGTTTAACAAATACTTGAAAAATTATTTATTGTATGCTGAATAATTGACAAGTGGCATACTGCTAAATAATTGGATTTTAACTAGTGATTGGTCCTTGCACAACCTGGTCATATGGCAATTGTTACAATTGTGTTGTAATCTAATTTCCTTCTAATAGTTTCTATTTTTTCAGGTTTGTGCTAGTTTTCTATCATGCTTATTGTACTTAATGCTATTGAACTCTGCACAATATTGTATGAACCCAGAATTCAGTATGAGGCACGTTACGTTACAATATATATAAGTTTGACCTAACACTAGTGACAGATTTGCCAATTTAATATCAACAATATGAAGAAACTTATCAATAATTTTTATTAAATTTATAAATGCTATAATATTTAAAGAGAAGGGATGTCAGCTTATTTAGATATTATATAAGTTTGATCTGATACTAGTGACAGACTTGTCAATTTAATGTCAACAATATGAAGAAACCTATTAATAATTTTTATTTCAGTTATAGATACAGTAATATTATTTAGTGTCAAAAGAGTCTTGATAAATTAGCTAGTTACAATTACTTAGAATATATCTTTATTTTAAGAACATGAAAGTTTTATGTTATTATATAGCTTAATGTGCTACTTTATAAAAGAGATAATAGTTTTATAATATGTAAATAACTTTGTATCTTGTAAATTTATTAATATAAAGTAATAAGAAAAAGTTAATATAAAAATATATTCTATATAAAATGCCTAAAATTTTTTTTTTTTTTTCAAAATAATTATAAAAAAAATGTAAAGTAGATAAGCAATAAAAAAAAAGAATTTTGATTAAATCAAATACCTGCTCTAGCATAAAAAAATTTCCCGAGAAAAGTAATTCAAATATAGTCAATGGATGTGACACACTAGCCATTTATCTATTTCATATTAAAGAAGGGAATGTTAATTTATATACTGTATTAATTTATTTTTTCTAATTTCTTTTGTAGTCATATTCGCTTAAGGACTGCAATGGTTTCCGATAAAGTTAAATAACAATGATAGTTTATTATTTACAATATTGCTTTATTATTTATTTTGCATTAGCAATATTGGTTAAAACACTCATGAGGATGTTTTCTAAAATGAATTTTCTGATGTCAACAAAATGCAATTTTTTTTAATCATCATTCAACTATTGTCCAATTAAAAATCTAGTCCTATGATCTCAATATTTGTATATAAGGTATTCTCGTTAAGTTAAAAAAATAACTTTATTTCGACATAGTACTGGATATATCGAGGATATTATATTGTGCAAATAAGTTGCAGGAAACTTGACATTCTAAATAAGGAAAAAAGAGGAATGGGCTATAAAATCCATCTTTAACCAACTATTAAAATTAACTTTTCCAATATACAACCAATCCTATAGCTATAGCAACAACTAATAGACACACTAAAACAATGACAACAATTACTCCAACGCTAAGTGAGGAAGACTGATTATTGGATGTTACGGGATCATTAGAAGTTGTGAATGCCGGTTCTGTATTATATTTCATTAAAAAGGGAAAACCGTATAAATAAATATATCTAGTGCTAATAATTAAAAATTAAAATTTGATAGAATTTTGTAAAAAAAGAAAATAACCTGGTACTGCAGACGTAGCTGCTTTTATATATAAATCGAAGGCAGTTTTCAAGTGATTAGCGATGTGTCTATGACAAAGTATTATTGACTAAACCAAATACCTGTCGAATATGGTACAGTTATGGTTTGTTTGAAGGTGCTAGTATACGGCGTGACGGTCACTAATTGAGATATTCAGAGTCAGTCAGCTTTCCTAATACACATATGGGATCGATTAAGCAGTATAAAGCAATACCCATTAAAGTAGACGTGATTGTAGACGTAGGCACGGTATCTGTAAAGTTTAAAAAGCAACATAGATATTACGTAAAAACCAATTGGGTCGCAAAAGTCCGAACGTTTCATGTATGTTATATAGTATCTCACCGACTAGTAATTAAATATAAAATATGCGTTAAATATAATATATATATATTTATTTAATAATATACGCAAAAAAGTTAACTCACTTCCTAATGAACAGTTTTAATAAGTATAAATAGTTAATTTACGGCATTTGTACAGTATTTACTGTTACTTTAAACTTTTCAACAAATTTCCTACTCACGTGCTAACCATTTAATAATAGACAATGAATATAAGTAATTAATTTCATTATGACTGGGGTTATACCGCGTGATATACTTACGGGCTTGTAATTTGATTAAATCAACAAATGAGTCACATGATAATATTATCAAAGTGTCATGCAATAATAATTTCATACTCACGAGCTAAAAAATTTGATGTATAAAGTATTAATAAATTTCAGTATCAAATTCATTCTAAAGCATAGATAATTGCCGAAGATATTGCTATACTTACACGCTAATTGTAATTTAATTTATTCCATGTGCAACGTTATTAATCAAAATTGGGTTAAATGTACTTTGCAAAACATTTTTAAATAAATTGGGAGCTTACAAGCTAATATTATTTTAAAAGAATGCATAAATTCACAAATCAATTTATTTGGAAAAGATATATATGATGGAGTGAAAAACACTTACTGGCTACAAAATTTAAAGGTATTTGCACATTAAGAAATTTTCAAACCACGTGCGATCTGTGCCAAAATTGTACTTACCAGCTAATAATTTAGTGATTTAGAAAAATCAATAAATGTTATTATAAAATAAAAAAGAAGATCGTATGAATAATGCAACGTTTTACTTACTAGCTTATAAAGTACGAAGCAAACACATAAAGGTTATATTATAAATTGTCTTGAAGAATAATGATACGGATTATTGTACAATAAGCTTATCTTACCGGCTAAAAATTGATGACTCATTGAGTTAAGTAAAATAAAAAAAGAATAGAAAGAAGTGTATATATGATGCACTCACCAACTGACGCGTTTATGTAAAAATGTATGATTAATTGGTCGAAAATAAATTATTATTAAAACATAAATTATTCGAGGTTCGGTGAAGAAATACTTACAGACTAAAAATTTATAACAAATTTCATAATTATAAACTTAAAATCAGCGAAAAATATGTGAAAAATATAGAGATTTAATACTTACATACTAATATAAATCAAGTACAGTACACAGTAATAAACAGTTAATACATGCTTTATAGAATACGATCGTCAATTTATATACATTACTTACCTAATTCACGGCGAAATATATTTAGAAATATATAATATCAAGGCATTAATCGGTGTACAGTATTTATTTATTGCGTAAGAATTTTAATGCTTACCATCTAATTGAAACGATAAAAATTAAATCAATAAAAATTTCATTTTAATAAAAAAAAAATCAATGAAATTAAAATGACAAAAAGAATTTAATTCTATTTACCAGCTAATTATGTCAAAAAATGATATTTAATTAGTCACTTAAATTGCTGTTGTTTATAGTCAATGTTAAACTATACTCACAGTCTAATGGTTATTTAAATATATGCATGAGTTATAAAATCAGTGTTATATGAGTTCACCATTTAAAGATTGGCTTATACTTTTAATACTTACAACCTAATAATAATTAAATTAAATCAAATTATTTTCATGTTAAATCATACCAGAATTATAAAAAAAATGCAACTAAAGTTTTCATACTTACACGAGGCTAATTTATCATTTATATCAACACAATATAATGTTAGAATGGATTTGTTTAGAAGGAGATGAGAATTTTGCAAAGATATAATCTTGTACTTGCCTGATAATTTCACGAAGAAAAATAGTGAGACAAAACACTTTATTGATTGTAAATCAATTTATTTACTATACGTAGTACATACAGACTAATTTGACGCGAAATTAATATCACATAATAAGATAATAGAAAACATTTTTAATAAATATAAATTATATACAAGCATTGAAAATAAATGCACGTGTAAATATACAGTACTTACCTTCTGTAAAGTTTATCATAAAAGGTAAGGAAAAAATAATAAAGAATCGAAATTCTAAAATATTGTAAAAGCCAAAGGTTCTACACTCACCGGCTGATCAATGAATATATAATTGCAGTTAATAAATGAATGTTGGTCATAAATTAATTGCATGCTATAGTTTATACTCACATACTAATAACATATAAAAATTAGTATTTCACATCACAAAATAAAACACAGATTGTGAGCTTCAAGAGGTAGCACGGTATTGGCATCACAGTTACCTTCTGTTGATTACAGAAATTATTGTAAATGAGTTATAAATCTGTGGTTATGCCGAACGATCTTTAAATACTTACGTACTAATAATTTATAAAGTTAATTAGTTTAACATCGATGCACAGCAATATATAGGTTTGACGAATAAAAGAGATGTGTACTTACACCCTATTCATATATAACAAATAATATGATATAATTAAATTGCAAGCTAGAATAAACTCCAAAACAATTTACTTACTCCCTAATAGCAGAAAAGGTAGTATACATGATCAATCAATATATGCAGCCCAAAAAAATAATATATTCGTTTAAAAAAACACCTACCGACTATATATGTATACGCAATAAATGTGTTAATCATAAACATTGTTAAAAACAAAAGTCATCAAATCCAGCACTTACAAGCTAATTAAAACCGGTCAAGAAGAAATAACTCGTCAGTCGATTATTTTAAAATATGATATCATTTTTACAAAATATTGCACTCACATGCTAATTAAATAATATCAATAAAGTAATGAAATTCAGAACAAGATTATGCAATAAATTCTTGTTTCAGCCAATAAAATAGTTCATAGTTACCACCTATTATTTATTATAATAAGAAAGTATATGGGTTAGAAAGCTGTATAAGAGCAATATATCAACATAGGTTATTGTCATACTTACAATCTGACGATTAATGAATATATAAGATGAATAGGTTAACTTTTTGCGTTGTCACAAGTGACAAATAAAATAATATCATGGTACTCACTCGCTAAAGTTTTGTAGAGTTCGATAAACACGCGAGGGTTAATTAGAAAGAAAGATAAAGATAAAATGACATTCCATAGTTTGATATCTACCGGCTGAGAATTTGAGAAATATAAAAATCTTTTTTAGTCAAATTATGATATTTACGCACAATAATAAACGTCAAATGAGCTTACCGTCTAGTGAATTATTGCGGTATTAGAGGAAATAAGTAACAATAATAATTGACAATAAAAGAAAATAAAAATTGGGATAAACGTATTACTTACAAGCTGACAGTTTATTTGAAGATGCAAAAATGTGTTAGCAGGTTACGAGACGATAATTTAAATTAAAAATATAATTCTGCAGTTTACACATACACGCTAGTTTAAGAAAGAAATGCAGGGCGTTAATATTCAAGAAGTCAAGATTCGAAAGTAAACACAGGTATAATTCTTACATGCTGGTAATCAAAGATGCGGGTTAGATATAAGCAAGTGTTTTTAATGAAAACAATAAAAAATACAATTATTTACCGACTATCGATATAATTTGTAATTTGAGGATCGACTTATTTAATTAGTGATATTCGAGGTAACTTTTTTTCTAAAAAAACCAATATTTAAGCGCACTTACAACCTAATATTTGCACAGAATAAAATTTAGACATTAATAAAATTATTTATAAATTGGATTATTCAAGTATTGAGAACAATAATATACTCACCAGCTAATATTTTGGCAATATGTTAATTAATAATATAAAATATTAGGCAAAATTTAAATTTAAATTTTTAAATACTTACTAGCTAGCAAAATCAATCGTAAAAGTGCAGCAAGTCATCAAGTTTTTCCGATCATAAAATTAGGAAAGCAAAATAAAGTACACCCAAGTTCTCATACTCACGACCTGATTTCGTAAAAAAATGCGTGTGATTAGTGAAAATATCATATACAAAGTCTATCATTTTAATAAAACTGTATCATATACTCACAAACTGATTAATTAACAGGTGAAAATATGAGTGTTTTATAAATTATAAATTAATAATGATATAAATATTAAGAACACTAGTTGTTAGAACATATTTACCCCCTGGAAATTAGTAAAACAAGAATTAGAAGGTTAGCTTAATAGTTTTTTTTAATTTCATTTTAAAAAAATTCATCTGTTCTTACCTAGTCATTTTTTGGACATAATTAAATTAATAAATAAATACAAAAGGTAATCTTGTACTGTATGCATTTCTTTAATAAAGCTTGACTCACATACTAATTTAAGAAAAATAATGTACAATTCGCAAAGTTTATTAGCACGATACATTTTTTAAAAAACAAATTGTATTTATATTAAATGGACGTAGGCGAACATAGTATAAATTAGTCTCGAAGAAGCATACACAGAGTGATACTTACATACTGGCAATTTTTGCATCAAATAAAATGAAAATAATGCAGGCAATCATGTAATAATTAGCTAAAACAAAATGTTAAAACTAAAAACAAATATAAACGCGTGACTTTTATATTTACGACCTAATGTAATTTAACGGAGAATATGTTAATTGAAAACATAGCTAAAAAGATTAATGTTTTCCATAATGAAATTTATTTCCTACCTAAATTTACACAATATGAAAAATAACGCCGAATTAATAGTAAGTTGCGTTTAAGTAGAAACGAACAATGCTTTATACTTGCAAGCTAAATTAATTAAATATTTAAAATATTTAAGTAAATGCACCATCATGAAATCATTGCAATAATAAACAAAAAAAAAAGTACAAAACTTACTGCCTAATATAATTCATGCAATATATATATACATGTATGTAGTTAGTATAAATAACAGCATTTGTACAAACATTTGTTTGGATTACTGTAATAAACTTTAATATTACCAACTAATAATTAAAGTAGGTTAGATAAAAATTCCATCAAAATAATCATGCAATTTTAAAACACTTACCAGCTAACAATTAGGCA